GTGTCCTACGAGGGCACACGGGACCTGCAGGGCAAGTGGCAGAAGCACCAGGCCTTCGCCGCCGAGCTCGCGGCCAACCGGGGCTGGCTGGAGGCGCTGGAGAAGGTGGGAACGGGGGAAAACGGGGGGAAAACGGGGGGAAAATGGGATCTGGGAAGGGGCGGCCCTTGGGAAAGGTGGGATATGGGAGGGGGGGTTGAGTCACAAAATTCCATGGGTTCAACCTCAGCAATTCTGTGATTCCATGGGTCCAGCCTCAGTGATTCCACGGTTCTGTGGGTCCAGCCCTTAATAATTCCACGATTCCATGGGTCCGGTTTCAATGACCTTGCCATTCCATGGGTCCAATCTTCAGAATCCACAATTTAGTGGGTCAGCCTCAAGGATCCCACATACCATCAACAAGTCCATGATTTTTCGGGTCCAGCCATGATGGATCCACGAGTCCAGTCTCAACGATCCCACCACCCCACGTGCCCAATCTCCATAACCCCACAACTAAACGGGTCCGACCTCAACAACTCCGCAATTCCAACCTCGACGTTGCCCACTCTGTGATTTTTTGGGTCCCGCAGGACGGCGAGCAGCTGGCGCGGGCGCGGCCGGCGCTGGCCGGGCAAGTGACGGCGCCCCGGCAGGAGCTGCGGGCGCTGTGGGCGCAGGTGGAGGCGGCGGCGGCCGCCAAGGGCCGGGGCTTGGCCGAGGCCGCGCGCGCCGAGAGCTGCGCCCAGGCCTGCGCCGGACTGCGCTCCTGGCTGGCCGGAGTCCGCGCCCAGCTCCGCTCCGGCCACTGCGGCCAGGACCTGACCAGCGTCGGGGTCCTGCTGACCCGGCACCAGGTCAGGGCTGGGGGCTGGGAAATGGCAACGGGGGGAAGGTTTGGGGTGAAGGTTTGGGGTGAGGGGTTCAGGTACGGGTTTGGGGGGTGGGTTTTGGGTGGGTCTGGGATGAGGGTTTGGGATGACCAGGTTTTGGGGTGAAGGTTTAGGGTGTAGAGTTTGGGGTGTTCAGGTTTTGGGTGNTTTTTGGGTGCAGGTTTGTGATGCAGGATTTAGGTTCTGGTTTTGGGGTTTGGATTTTTGGGTGCAGGTTTGTGATGCAGGATTTGGCTGCGGGTTTTGGGGCTGGGGATTTTGGATGCAGGTTTTGGGATGCAGATTTGGGGGTACAGGCTTTGAGTGCAGGTTCTGGGGTTCAGGTTTTGAGGGTGCATGTTCTGCCACGCAGGATTTGGCTGCGGGTTTTAGGGTTCAGGTTTTGGGGGCGTGAGTTTTAGGGTTCATGTTTTGGGATGCAGATTTTGGGGGGGGTCCCTGGGGGTCCCTGACCCCCC